TTGGCTGGGAGCATGATATCTTTTCTCTATAGAGCATCTCCATCTTGTCCGCGACATGCTGATTAGAAAGACCAAACATTAGTACAAAGTATGAATGTCTATAGGTAATATTACTAGACTAACGTTGTCATCTTGTAATTGCTTGTTGGACTTTTTCTTATGCTTTGTAGCTTTTTTCTCAAATTTGTCCCATTCAGAACTGTTTCTGTCAAGCTTTGAGAAAAGATTTTGTCACAAAAGTGAAAATGTTAAAGTGTAAACTGCAGTTGTTAACATACAATGACACTATCGGTTCTTTTGAGTTCCGGAATAATGGGTTCATCACTCTATGAAAAAACACAATGATTTCAGGTAAAAAATTCTCACCTTCAATGATTTAAATTCAAACCCTTTACTTACAGTTGTGACCCACTGCTGCAAGGTCAAAGGTCTTACCTTCTCTTTTTGTGTTGTGTTGAGGAGAATCTTCTCATATCTGTCCTCACAATGTTTGTGATGTCTCCGTAAATTCTGCAGATAACGAAAATGCCTTAGCTGTGACTAAAACACAAAATACAGTTTGTAGACACTGAAAACTTCTGAACAGAATCCAATACACTAGTAACCTATTATTACATTGAATCTAATATTCGCTTGTAGGTAGTCAGTAAAACCAAACGTTTTTGTCAAATAAACAATTGAAACACATTCAAATTATTCACAAAAAAATAAGTTTAAAATAGGGATGCACCGATCCAATACTGGTATCGATATCGGCGCCGATACCAGAAAAAATACTGGATCGGATATCTGCCTGTGTCACTGCTGTCGATCCATTTTCTTATCTTTTTTTTTTTTTTTATATTATATATTTTTTAATACATACCAGGTACCGCACAATGTCTTAAAATACATTGTGCATAATGTACCATATACGTATAAAATGAATGAATTAAAATTAATGTAACAGATGTGACACGTGACTTCCTCGTGGCGCTCTACAACAACACAGCGTTGTTCACGCGGCGGTAAACTAGGGAAATACAACACGACTAAGCACCACGAGAAACAGCACAGGGAGTTTCTGCATCGAAAGGAGATTACGTGAAAACAACGAGACACAGATGACACTGACGCAGCGTCACAAAAAGCTTTTCAGCAACAATCCCAAAGTGTTGGACTTCATCATGGGCTCGCAGCCCATATCTGAAATCCACTTAAAGCTACGGTACTATTATTTATTTACATTTTCATGCAGCGTGTTTTGTTTGTTGTGTTTATTTATTCAAACACAGTTAATATAAGTACATTTATATTCAATAAATGTATAAGGTCTAATACAGAGTTGAATGTTTAATGTGAACATTGAGCAGCTCTTTATAGTTGCAGTTTTGCACATTTATGTTGAATCCATTTTTATCTGGAAAGTTTAGCTTTACTTCATCCACTGCTTTTGCAGTTACTTGAACAAAGAGTTCAATTATTAAATACATTTTAGCATGATCATTTCCGGTATTGGTCAATATCGGTATCGGCAGATACCCATAGTTCCGGTATCGGTATCAATAGTAAAAAAGCTGGATCGGTGCATCTCTAGTTTAAAATATAATTATTTTGTTAACATATATTATAGTCTTGTTTGGGTGCTTTTTATTCCCACTGTTCTATAATACATTGATCCCACTGTGGGACAAATTAAGCCACTTTTTACTTATAAACGGGAATTCTTACCTCTGATTCCCCTTTCTCGTTGGCAGTCTCACTCTCCTCCTCTGACATGATTGCTGCCAATAAAATCTGTTAAAAAAAAGAATAAAAGGTAAGGTCTAAAATGTTAATACAATATCCTCAGCTCACGTTCCAAAAGGAAATTTTAACATTTACAGAGTTAAGTCATGTCCTCTAAGCACAACACCATTAGCGTGATTTGCGTTTATTTACGTCACGACTGAGCTATAGCTGAAGATCCTGGTCCGAGCCTGACAGAGACAAGACTAGTTAGGGCCGTGCCACTCGGAACAGATCTACTCAATGAGACCCCAAACAGCGCACACAGACACTGACACAGACGCGGTCTTGGTTTTGCCACGTACTCCGCAGATAACCTCACTCCAAACAGCGCGCACAGACGCGGTCATGGTTCTGCTAACTACTCCATGCGCACGGCGTCGCACGCACTCAAAAACATCAAATAGGACTTAGAAAGTTTGGGCTTAAAAACGTGGTCAGGTTCGGGTTGGATTCAGACCAAATCCTCTCCAGTGCAGGCAAGGCTTAAGTTTGTAGGCCTGATAACAATATCAGTATAACGAGGGTTAGCTAAGTTAGCTCCCATTAGCTTAGCTACGCAGCAGGGATGCTAACACGTGTTGCCCTGAGAGTAAGCATACATCACAAATCACTAACTATTTATTAAATATTCACTTCTATCGAACATTATTGAACAGTTTACCATCGATATATCGAATTGTGTTAAATGTAGACTCACCAAAGATGTCCAGCACGTGATGTATCCCTTCCCTGGGTCAGGTGCAGAGCAGACTGACGGACTGACGCTAGCGTGCGCTTAGGCCACGCCCACCTATAGACGCGTACCTTTGTATCATACGCTGAAAATAATACATTATTATACGCACACTTATTATTATGTATATCATTTTGTATAAAAATACTGATATTAGTCTGTGGTAATTGTTTTTTGAATCAACTGACTGCACACATAATAATATAAAATGTATAAACATGCATAAATGTCAACAAATCTTATATATTGGAGACACAACATTTCAAGTGGAATAAGATGAGCTTTACTGAAGAGCGCCAATTGTATTTGCGGGTGATTACATAGAATATAATGTGTTGGTTGGAATGGGGTAACAAACTGATTTTGAACACATCTGTGTCACTGTGTCAGGATCCAAAGCATTTAAGAAAAAATAAGAAAAATGCGTAAAGCATGGTGTTAAGGCCATAATTTAGTTTGTATTAAAAATTTCTAAAAAGTCTAAAATTAGTTCTGAAATTTAAAATCATTATTTAAAAACATCCTGAAATATATATTTGTTACTCATAATGTTAAATATAGAAATCTTAATATTCCTTGTTTAGAGCAAGAGAGGGCGGAACAGATGGGACAGAGTAGTCATAGATGGGACAGGTGTAGGGGAATCGGCATAATGAGGGTGACCGACATGGTTTTTGACCGCAACGCAACACAACGCACGCAACGCTACGCAGCACAGACTATTTGATTTTTGACAAATAAAACTCTGGAAATAGATCTACGGCTACGTGTTGTGTTTGATGCTGTGAGTCAGAAAGCACACACCCAAAGGATGGCTTAGAAGCCCACACGTATGGTTTTTTTATGGTCTGGCCTCCATTTTGTTATCTTCAGAGCGCTGTAGCCCCGTACATTATGGGGACGTAGAAAACCAGATGTGTGTGTCATGAAGAAGTCTAGCCTCCATTTTGTTATCTTCAGAGCGCTGTAGCCCTGGACATTATGGGGACGTAGAAAATCAGATGTGTGTGTCATGATGAAGTGTGACCTCCATTTTGTTATCTTCAGAGCGCTGTAGCCCTGGACATTATGGGGACGTAGAAAATCAGATGTGTGTGTCATGATGAAGTGTGACCTCCATTTTGTTATCTTCAGAGCGCTGTAGCCCTGGACATTATGGGGACGTAGAAAATCAGATGTGTGTGTCATGATGAAGTGTGACCTCCATTTTGTTATCTTCAGAGCGCTGTAGCTCTGGACATTATGGGGACGTAGAAAATCAGATGTGTGTGTCATGATGAAGTGTGACCTCCATTTTGTTATCTTCAGAGCGGTGTAGCCCTGGACATTATGGGGACGTAGAAAATCAGATGTGTGTGTCATGATGAAGTGTGACCTCCATTTTGTTATCTTCAGAGCGCTGTAGCCCTGGACATTATGGGGACGTAGAAAATCAGATGTGTGTGTCATGCAGAAGTCTAGCCTCCATTTTGTTATCTTCAGAGAGCTGTAGCCCTGGACATTATGGGGGCATACAAAACCAGATGTGTGAATCATATGGGAGAATATTTTTATAAAAACTAAAAACAAATAACACAAACAAACACAGTTCCAGTGTTGAAATCAAAAGAAAAAAAACTGCACTAAAGAAAAGACAATTTGTGACTTAAAAGGTGAACCACACTGCGATAGAGAGAGTGGCTTCACATTAAATTAAGGTGAAGCCACTCTTTTTTGTGAGTCAGGCAAGCACAGTGGCTCAGAGTTTGTTTCATTTGCCTGTTGCAACCAGTGTGGGCGGGCCCCGGCTCAAAAGTGTCCAAAAGGACATGCGCTGACATGCTGCAGTACCACCCCGGGCCTGTGGGGGTGGACCCGGAATAAGAATTAGCCAATGCTAACATATAGCATCTTCTTACTTCTGGAAAACGTCTTTACAGGATGGTCCAAAACTGTCTCTTGGCCCAAAGCTCCGATCCACATGTGTGTCAATGCTGAGTGTTCTGGACCAGTCTAGTTTAGTCGCGGTGGACTTTAGAAGTCTCTCCTTTAAATGAATGGAGCTCTCGCCGGCTGACACATGCGCATTCGCGGCCATTTTGGATAGCTCCAACGGCGGAGATGGGCGTGACTACGTCCGTTAAAATATACAGTCTATGATTGCAACAGCTGGACCATGCCCTCTGGCCCTCGCTTCACTTACAACAAGATTAGTACGACATGACCAATCAGAAGACCCAACAGCTTTGTCTGACTGTTCCCCACTGACCAATCAGAAGACCCAACAGCTTTGTCTGACTCTTCCCCACTGACTGACCCCATCGTTCCCATAACCCAGAATCCCAACCACAGCCTGTAGGAACAGGCTGTGTACAGGCTGTTCCAAATGTCAATGGTACTTTCTTTAGTACCATGTACCCTTGCTGTAGACAGCTCCAATGCACAATGCCCACAACAGTAAAACAGAGGACCAGAGGAGAGCAGAGGATCGAGAGAGAGCAGAGGACCATGGGAGAGCATGGGACCAGAGGAGAGCATGGGACCAGAGGAGAGCATGGGACCCGAGGAGAGCAGAGGACCTGGGGAGAGCTTGGGACCATGGAAGAGCATGGGACCAGAGGAGAGCATGGGACCAGAGGAGAGCATGGGACCAGAGGAGAGCATGGGACCAGAGGAGAGCATGGGACCAGAGGACAGCATGGGACCCGAGGAGAGCAGAGGACCAGGGGAGAGCTTGGGACCATGGAAGAGCATGGGACAAGAGGAGAGCAGAAGATTGAGAGAGAGCAGAGGACAATGGGAAAGAATGGGACCAGAGGAGAGCGGAGGACCAGGGGAGAGCACGGGGACTGGACACGACAGAAGGACTGACACGACCCCTGGACACTCCCAGACACGACCCCTGGACACTCCCAGACCATGTGGAAAAAAGTGCCAGTAACTCCAGCATGACACAAAGTGCATGTCAGATCTGCACACATGTAGATCTGGAGGCTCTGATCTCAAACTACGCTCTAAAGGAGAATGGTACATCATCCAGGTGCTGTAGGATGTGGTGGAGGGCCAGGTTATTGGCGTCGTCTACAGATCTGTTGGCTCTGTAGGTGAACTGCAGGGGGTCCAGGAGGGGGAAGTGAAGGACTTGAGATGGGAGAGGACCAGGCGTTCAAATGACTTCATGACGACAGACGTAAGTGCTACAGGTCTGTAGTCGTTGAGTCCTGTGATCCTGGGCTTCTTCGGGACGGGGACGATGATGGAGGATTTGAAGCAGGCCGGGACATGGCAGGACTGCAGAGAGGTATTGAAAATGTCAGTGAACACAGGAGTTAGCTCACTGGCGCAGTGTCTCAGAGTGGCTGGAGACACATGGTCTGGGCCAGGAGCTTTGCGGGGGTGCAAGTCCTGTTCGTGGACTTCAGCTCTGCCTTCAACACAATCCTGCCATCCCTGCTCCAGGACAAGCTCTCCCAGCTCAACGTGCCCGATTCCACCTGCAGGTGGATCACTGACTTCCTGACGGACAGGAAGCAGCGAGTGCGTCTGGGGAAGAATGTCTCGGACTCTCGGATTATAAATACAGGAGCCCCACAGGGCTGTGTTCTTTCTCCCCTGCTCTTCTCTCTGTACACCAACCACTGCACCTCCAGCCACGACTCCGTGAAGCTGATCAAGTTCACGGCTGACACCACCCTCATTGGACTCATCTCCAACAACGACAAGTCCGCCTACAGGAGGAGGTGGACCGGCTGGTATCCTGGTGTCTCCTACAGGAGGAGGTGGACCGGCTGGTGTCCTGGTGTCTCCTACAGGAGGAGGTGGACCGGCTGGTATCCTGGTGTCTCCTAGATGGTGGGCAGTTCTACACGGCCCATCATTCGAGTCCATCCTCCACCTCCTCCTTCACCGTGTGGTTCGCTGGATGCCCACAGTCAGGAAAACAGAGACTACAGCGCCATGTGCGCTCTGCAGAGGAAGTGATCGGCCGCATCCCTTCCATCGACTGCCGGGACCTGTTCGATCCCCCGAGCTCGAGGCATGGGGCTGGTAGTATCACAGCCGACCCCTATCACCCTGCCACATGGACTATTCCAACCACTACCCTTCAGGCAGGCGCTACCCCCCACTCTCCCCCCGATGCGGTCCATCAGGGACTAGAAATCCCCGCCAAAGAAACAGTTTCTTCCCCTCTGCTGTTGGGACTATTGAAACACCTTTTAACCTGTACCACCGCCCTTTATAAATTACTTTATGCCATCATACGTCACTTTATTCACTGTTATACTGCTGTCACCTTACATTGTGTGCACCAGTGCACTTGTACATTGTAAATAGTAACTGTAACTCTATTTTAAATTTAAATTTATTCTTTGAGTCGTTTTTTTATTCATTATTTTTATTATCTCGTTTTTGGACTGTAGCACTGAGCCAAAGCAATTTCCAGTCTTGTGACCTCCCGGATTACTTACGTTGGCAATAAAATATGATTCTGATTTGATTCAATTTTCAAGTATGTGTAACTATTTACTGGCATAAGGTGTGCGAACTAATTTCACTTGACTCATGGCCTCTTGATTGCCCTTTACCACTGTACCAAAGGAAAAGACACTTTTACTGTAGAATATAGATTAAGTAGCCATTTTGGTCCTAAAATATCGCTAAATAAATTATTCATAACAAATCGTCTCTTAAAAATATGGAAAGGACCCCTGGAGGTTTACTTTCCTGAAAAAAGTGTGTTATGTGTCGGAACCCTGGTGGTGGGTTGCGGGATATCAAGGAGGGGCACACTGGGGCAATTTCAGTCCAGCAGGCTGGAGCCAATCATGGAGCAGCACAACAGAGGAAATCAGGTGTCAGGCTAGAAAAAGGTGCAAGTGTGTGGTTCATTAGGCTGCAAGAAATCATGGAGGAGCACACTGAAGCGCACGCTTACAAACCACTGGTAAGTGCTGACTACAAGTCATGACTTCAAATTGTTATATAGAATGATTACAAATTATTTGTTGTTTGTGCAGCTTAGTCAAGAGTCCCTAATTGATGAAGTCGACTCAGATTCTGACGATTTAACTGTCAAGAAGAAACCTGTAAAAAAGTATGGAAAAAGAAAAATCAAAAACACTTTTCTTCAAGACTCGGAAAGTGACGAACCAAAGGCAAATAAGATTGTTATCATGCAGCTGCAAAAGAAGAAAAATGGGGGGCGAGTATACAGCAAGAGACACTTCTGCCTCTACTGTTCAATGTCCTGCCACAAAATGTCCCGTCATTTGACTAGAAAACATGGAAATGAAAGTGACGTAGCCAGAGCATTGGCTCTACCTGTGAAATCTAAAGCACGTAAACTTCAGTTTGATTTGATCAGGAATAGTGGAAACCGTGAGCACAATTTTGAGGTTTTAAAGGCCGGCATTGGAACTTTAGTCCCAGCTAAACAGCCAAATTCCCCAGTTAAATCCAGTGAGTTTTTGCACTGTATAGACTGTGGGGCATTGCTTAAGCGAAAGTCGCTGTGGAGGCATGTGGCCAGGTGCCGGCTTTCACAGAAAGATGCCCAGGCTAAACCAGGTAGAAGTAGGGTCCAGTCCCTCTGCTCCCTAGCCCAGCCTGTACCGGAGGGCATCAGCAAAAAGCTGTGGTCTTTAATTTCGGCAATGCATCAGGATGAGGTCACGGGTGTTGTCAAAGCAGAAAAGGGGATTCTGAGACTCGGAGAGCACCTGTACTTAAAACACGGGCATGATAAGACAAAGCATGATTACATTAGGCAGAAAATGAGAGAAGTCGGTAGGTTAATTAACGAAGCAAAAACCGCAGGGAAACTGAAAACAATTAAGGATTTCTTTATTCCTTCCAACTTTAACCATGTGATTGATGCAGTCAGGTCTGTGGCTGGATATGATGAGGAAACAAATCAATACAAGACTCCATCCTTGGCCCTCAAACTCGGCCATAGCCTCAGAAAGCTAGCAGATATTCTTGAATGTGACTCAAAAATGGAGCATTGTGTTGATGAACTATTTATTAAAAACCTCCAACGAAGCCGGCTGCTTTTTGAGAAGAGGTGGGACGTCTGTGTTTCTTCTGCTGCCCTACAGACCCTCCGGCAAGCCAAGTGGAACACTCCGGACCTGCTCCCTCTGACTGAGGACGTTAGAGCCATGCATGCACATATTGAGGTATGTCGACCTGAATATGTGCAAACCCTAATAAGTGAGCCAACGTCTAAGCATTGGTCTAAACTGGCAGTTTTGACTCTTTGTGAGGTCATCATTTTCAATCGAAGAAGGGAAGGTGAGGTTTCAAAGATGCCACTGACAGCCTTTACCTTAAGAAGTAAGACTGGGATCCATTCTGACATTGCTCTGGGACTGTCCCAACTTGAGAAAAAGCTGTGTCAGCATTTTCAACGCATTGAAATTAAAGGGAAAAGAAGTCGGAAAGTGCCGGTTCTTTTGACTCCTGAAATGATTGCTTCGATGGAGGTGCTGGTGGAGAACAGAAGGGCCTGTTCCATCTCTGACCATAACCCATACTTCTTTTCCCGCCCGGGCGCAGACACCCACATCAGGGGATCAGACTCCCTACGCCAGGTAGCCAAAGAATGTGGTGCGGTGCATCCAGAGATGCTATCCTCAACCAAACTTAGAAAGCACATAGCTACTATGTCTACAGTTCTCAATATGAAAGAGAATGAGATGGACATACTTGCCAACTTCCTCGGCCATGACATTCGCATCCACAGGCAATATTACAGACTACCAGAGGGGACACTGGAGCTGGCCAAAATCAGCAAAGTGTTGATGGCCATGGAGCAGGGAAGAGTGACGGAATTCGAAGGAAAGAGCCTCGACCAGATACAAATTGAGCCTGAAGGTAATTCTTGATATTATTAAAATATGTATGATTTTTTTCCCCTAAAGGCCACTTGTATTTTTATTTTCTGTGCGACAGGGAGAGCAGTAGAGATCCTCTCACAAACGGACGGGCTAAAAGAAACTTCAAGCGGAGAACCTTCAACCATTCATCCAGATGCACCCCATGGTAGTGGCAGTGCCCCTTCTGGTAAGTGTACCAGGTGGGGGATTACAGCCAGGCTGCTTGGTCCTCACCCTGGGAGTGTATATTGCTAATATATTTTTATTTCTCTCCCTAGAACGTGTAAGAAAGCCATGGTCTGCATCTGAGGTGAAGGCTGTGGAGAAGACCATGACACCTTTCATACAGACTGGAAAGGTCCCTGGGAAGTCTCACTGCCTGGCCTGCATTAATGCCTCACCAGATGACCTTAGACATCGAGAACTTTGCTTTTTCCTCACAATGTTATTTATATAGAATTTGTTATGAATATTTGTTCTGTTATGTATATATTCTATTCAGACTTCCTCTTCCAATGGCAATAACAATATTTTTCAAACGTTTTTTTGTGAAAAAGTGAACATTATTGCGGACATAATAGCAAAAAAAAGTAAAAACTAATATTTTTTTCAATGTGTGTGTATATATACAGTGCCTTGCGAAAGTATTCGGCCCCGTTGAACCTTTCAACATTTCGTCACATTTCAGTCTTCAAACATAAAGATATACAATTTTAATTTTTTGTCATGAATCAACAAGTGGGACACAATCGTGAAGTGGAACGAAATTTATTGGATAATTTAAACTTTTTTAACAAATAAAAAACTGAAAAGTGGGGCGTGCAATATTATTTGGCCCCTTTACTTTCAGTGCAGCAAACTCAGTCCAGAAGTTCAGTGAGGATCTTTGAATGATCCAATGTTGTCCTAAATGACTGATGATAAATAGAATGCACCTGTGTGTAATCAAGTCTCCGTATAAATGCACCTGCTCTTTGATAGTCTCAGGGTTCTGTTTAAAGCGCAGAGAGAACCATGAAGACAAAGGAATACACCAGGCAGGTCCGAGATACTGTTGTGAAGAAGTTTTAAAGCCGGATTTGGATACAAAAAGATTTCCCAAGCTTTAAACATCTCAAGGAGCACTGTGCAAGCAATTATATTGAAATGGAAGGAGTATCAGACCACTGCAAATCTACCAAGACCCGGCCGTCCCTCCAAACTTTCATCTCAAACAAGAAGACTGATCAGAGATGCAGCCAAGAGGCCCATGATCACTCTGGATGAACTGCAGATAACTACAGCTGAGGTGGGAGAGTCTGTCCATAGGACAACAATCAGTCGTGCACTGCACAAATCTGGCCTTTATGGAAGAGTGGTATTTCTCAAAGATATCCATAAAAAGTCTTGTTTAAAGTTTGCCACAAGCCACCTGGGAGACACACCAAACATGTGGAAGAAGGTGCTCTGGTCAGATGAAACCAAAATCGAACTTTTTGGCCACAATGCAAAACGATATGTTTGGCGTAAAAGCAACACAGCTCATCACCCTGAACACACCATCCCCACTGTCAAACATGGTGGTGGCAGCATCATGCTTTGGGCCTGCTTTTCTTCAGCAGGGACAGGGAAGATGGCTAAAATTGATGGGAAGATGGATGGAGCCAAATACAGGACCATTCTGGAAGAAAAGCTGTTGGAGTCTGTAAAAGACCTGAGACTGGGACGGAGATTAATCTTCCAACAGGACAATGATCCAAAACATAAAGCCAAATCTACAATGGAATGGTTCACAAATAGACGTATCCAGGTGTTAGAATGGCCAAGTCAAAGTCCAGACCTGAATCCAATCGAGAATCTGTGGAAAGAGCTGAAGACTGCTGTTCACAAACGCTCTCCATCCAACTTCACTGAGCTCGAGCTGTTTTCCAAGGAAGAATGGGCAAGAATTCGAGTCTCTTGATGTGCAAAACTGATAGACATATCCCAAGCGACTTGCAGCTGTAATTGCAGAAAGAGGTGGCGCTACAAAGTATTAGCGCAAGGGGGCCGAATAATATTGCACGCCCCACTTTTCAGTTTATTATTTGTTAAAAAAGTTTAAATTATCCAATAAATTTTGTTCCACTTCACGATTGTGTCCCACTTGTTGTTGATTCTTGACAAAAAAATTATTTTTTATATCTTTGTTTGAAGCCTGAAATGTGGCAAAATGTTGAAAGGTTCAAGGGGGCCGAATACTTTTGCAAGGCACTGTATATCAATTCTGAGGTTAACGTGTGCTTAAAAGTCAAGATAAAGTATTTTACTACATCTTTTTACCTGTCATTTTATAGATTATAGATTTAGACATTTATGAATTGTTATAATATTTACAATTAAAACTCTTAATGTCCTCACTTGTTAAACTTTTTCAACATTTAGATAAAAATCTGAGTTCAAATCAACAAACGGTGGCTGAGTGGATAGTACTCCTGCCTCTCAGCAAGAAGGTCCTGGGTTTGAATCCCAGCCTTTCTGAGTGGAGTTTGCCTGTTCTCCCCGTGTCTGCCTGGGTTTCCTCCGGGTACTACGGTTTCCCCTACCTCTAAAAACATGTACAATAGGTCTGGCATGCACCTCCTGTACTGGCCTGCTCCCATCTCTTTGTGGAGTCGGAGACAAATGCCCAAAAATAACAATTGTGAACCGCTTTGAGACTGGTCTGTGAGAGGCGGTGTATATAAATAAAGATTACTTACTTACCACAAATTAATAAATTGAAGGAACAATCGCTAACTTCATCCATTCTCAAAACTTTTACTCACAGCCTTGATTGAAATACATTGGAAGTTACTAATATCTCCTTTAACTGGTCCCATTGTACGCGTACACGGAGTGAGAAAGTCTCCTAATCCAGATTTTCTGCATTGCACTTGTAGACAGGGATTCTTTCTGTGCAAATTCAAGCCTGCATAATCCTCTTCAGCGCCGCGCTTTTGTCAGAGTATGAAATGGTACAGCGACCCCCCTCCTCCCCCTCCCTCCATGTTTTTGCTTGGATTTGGGTAACACGACTTTCACCTAGTTTCTGCCCTGGTTATTTAGGAAATGTTGCGTCATTCATGTAAGTGGGTCAAGATTTGTGTACAGTAGAAGAGGAGCCTTTTTATGCAAATGAAATGTCCGTTACTTGTTTTAATTCATGCTTGTCCCATATTTAACCTTTGTCTGTTTGCTGTATTTTAATCCAATAATCTCTGGTCAATGGTACAGTTTAGTTTTACCAGTTATGAATATTTGAGTAGTCTGAGGATGGAGAGGGCCGAGGGCGAGAGGGCCGAGGGCGAGAGGGCCGAGGGGGAGAGGGCCGAGGGCGAGAGGGCCGAGGGCGAGAGGGCCGAGGGCGAGAGGGCCGAGGGCGAGAGGGCCGAGGGCGAGAGGGCCGAGGGCGAGAGGGCCGAGGGGGAGAGGGCCGAGGGCGAGATGGCCGAGGGCGAGAGGGCCGAGGGCGAGAGGGCCGAGGGCGAGAGGGCCGAGGGCGAGAGGGGCGAGAGGGCCGAGGGCGAGAGGGCCGAGGGGGAGAGGGCGAGAGAAGGAAAAGTGACTAAATTTCACACCCTGTAAGAAAAAAGTCTTGTCTTGAAGTTGTAAAAGAATCGTCTCGAGTCAGATCTCGTTAAAATCCAGTCCTGAATTCTTTGCAAGGTTTTAATCCAATAATCTCTTGTGACTAGAACAGTTTAGTTTTACCAGTATTGAATATTTGAGTAATCTCTAGATGTGTGTGAATCATTTCAGTCACACGTAATTACGACAAGTATAGAACCAATACTTGTGGACAGAGGTGTTACCAGAAAATCATCAACACCTTTGCGGAGAATCTGCTTTGACTTCCTCTCCTCACATCGCCTTTGGCTGAAACCGGTCCAGTTTACTTCTCGTTTCTCGTCCATGAGAATAAATAGACCAGTCATTTAAGGTAAACGTAACATCCAGATAGTTCACTTATTGTATTATTCATGGCAAACATTAAGACCACCAAACACTTTCCTAACCACCGGAACTCACGCCTGCAGAAGTGAGAGAGAGAGAGACCAGAGAGAAAGAGACCAGAGAGAGAAACCAGAGATGTCAAACCTGGATGAAGGTCTGAGCGCTGTACATATACTGAAAGACAGCCGCAGAGGACACTGAACACAGAGTGGCAGGGGCGAGAGAGAGTGGCAGGGGCGAGAGAGAGTGGCAGGGGCGAGAGAGAGTGGCAGGGGCGAGAGAGAGTGGCAGGGGCGAGAGAGAGTGGCAGGGGCGAGAGAGAGTGGCAGGGGCGAGAGAGAGTGGCAGGGGCGAGAGAGAGTGGCAGGGGCGAGAGAGAGTGGCAGGGGCGAGAGAGAGTGGCAGGGGCAGGGAGAGAGGTGGCAGGGGCGAGAGAGTGGCAGGGGCGAGAGAGAGTGGCAGGGGCGAGAGAGAGTGGCAGGGGCGAGAGAGAGTGGCAGGGGCGAGAGAGAGTGGCAGGGGCGAGGCGAGAGTGGCGAGGCGAGGGAGGGGCAGGGGCGAGGCGAGAGAGGGGCAGGGGCGAGAGAGGGGCAGAGGCGAGAGAGGGGCAGAGGCGAGAGAGGGGCAGGGGCGAGGCGAGAGAGGGGCAGGGGCGAGGCGAGAGAGGGGCAGAGGCGAGAGAGGGGCAGAGGCGAGAGAGGGGCAGGGGCGAGGCGAGAGAGGGGCAGGGGCGAGGCGAGAGAGGGGCAGGGGCGAGGCGAGAGAGGGGCAGAGGCGAGAGAGGGGCAGAGACGAGAGAGGGGCAGAGGCGAGAGAATGGCGGGGGCGAGGGAGACGGGACTGAGGCGAGAGGGAGAGACAGAGGTAGACAGACCAGAGAGAGACGAGTCCTCTGAGCTAATAACTGTTGTGCACACAAAGCCTCCGTTATATGAAGTCGTATATATTGTTGTTGTAGAATAGAAGCAATATCACACATTAGCAAATCTGCGACGCCGCAAAAAGTGAACCCAATCTTGCCCTATTGAATTTCAAAAAGGATCGTCTCGACTCGGTCCTCGTCAAAATCCCGTCATCAATTAGACCCCGGGACCCCACGACATCTGCACTTCCTCTTTTCCGCTCCCCAGACCTTTGTCCAGAGGGTGCTGAGACCAGACTCCCACTCGGGACATGGGGAATTAGGAGCCGTCAAAGCTGGCGCTGGTGAAGGGGGATGTCGAGCTGTCATTGAGTTTTTTTGTGGGAGCAGACGGCGTAAAAGTCACAATGTTTCCTAAAGATGTCGAGGGTGATTTCACCTTTAGCCCTGAACCCATCCATCTTCTGTATCTGCCAACCACTTCCGACGTTAGCGACGCTTGTTGAGACGACAAAGGGCACCGACTGTGGTGAAGGGTTCTGCAGAAGTGGAGCTTTTTTTTTGCAGCTTCTTGCGTTTCTTCCTGCGTGACAACAGCCTCTGCATGCGACGGGTTTAATCAAAGATGAAGTGTGTGGTTCAGGAAAACATGAACAGAGTTGTTTTGTTTGGGTTTTGAACAAGTTGTCATTTATTTTTGTAGCTATAGCAGTGTTGTGGATTCTGCTTCTGGAGTTGTGTGTGTAAGAAAAGAGAGGGAGAGAAGGGAGGGAGGGAGAGGGAGATAGAAGAGAGGGGAGGGAGAGAGGAGAGAAGAGAGGGAGGGAGGGAGAGAGAGGAGAAAGGGAGGGGAGGGAGAGAAGGGAGGGAGAGGGGGGAGAGAGAGGGGGGAGAGAGAGAGAGAGAAGAGAGTAGTAGTAGGAGTTTCCATTGTTTCTTGGACAGATCCGTGAATCAATAACTTCTCGTTGCTTTCATTTAGGGCTATTTGCAAATACACCACATTTTGGGATCAATAAAAAGACTGATGATTCCAAACAAAATTTGAAAGTAAAATATCACCTGTAGTTTCTGCACCTTCTCGTCTTTCATTAAAACCTTGGACTTTTTATATGTTAAATATGTTAAATAAGCTTTATAACTTTATGAAGAAAAACGTTTTCAAGTCCCGGGTAAGTGACATAACAGGAGCTCATGGCGAGGGTCATGTGACAGGGGCTCCTGAAGGAGGTCACGTAACAGGGGCTGAACAGGGAGGTCTCGGATCTGCAGCCTCACTGCTCATTTACACAGGAGGCGTTACAGCACGTACGCGTTATACACACAGCAGACGCACGTAACTGTTTTCCATGTTAACCAATGGGGATATTTACACTAGTAGTGTCAGACGGGCGTTTGACGGTTGTATGACTCGAGGCTGCGCCTAATTTAGGATGGATTTCTAATATTGTGTGCGCAGCAACGCGTCTCCCATTGAAATCACATGTGAAACATGATTTTTAAAATGACCCTTGGCTCTAGATTGCATCTACACACACACAGCACTTGTATCTAAACATTAGCAGGCGGACTGGCAGGTTTTACACTGATTCTAGACATAGTTTTTTTTCTTTCATAAAGTCTTGCGTCTGGCCAAACCAGCGCACAGAGACCATGAAGACAAACACATGCATGTGATTTGTGTTGCTCTGCATCACTCTGTACTGTCCTCCACACTGCTCCACTACACAGGGAGAGCATCAGAAGCCTCAGTCCCGGGTCTGCGGCCTCAGTCCCGGGTCTGCGGCCTCAGTCCCGGGTCTGCGGCCTGTCCATCCGTGAGAGCAGCTCCCTCTCTCAATTACGGCTGGGAATTGACAACAATGTGACGATTTGATAATATTGTATTATTTGGGCCATGATTCAATATTGTTGCGATGTTTAACATATACACAGACAGTATTGTGATTCGATTCTGCAAAATATTGTGATTCATGTTCTTCATATTATTCAAAGACTTTACATACATGGAGAAAAATCAGACTGAACTCAAATATCACATGGTCTGTACATGAAGCGAAGCAAACGATTAGGAACATTCAGGACACAGGACCTTATCCTCTATGGGCAGCACAGTGGCTGAGTGGTTGGATCCGGGTCGGAACAGGGTCTTTCTGGGTGGAGTTTACATCTTCTCCCCGTGCCTGCATATGTTTCCTCCAGGTGCTCCGGTTTCTCCCTACCACTAAAAACATGTACAATAGGTCTGAATGTATGCAGTGAAATGTATGGTGTTGATTGAAGGCTTTGATGGTTCAGTGTGTTATCGCTTCCGTCCTCACTGTGTGTGACTGGAAAAATATCTGTATTTTCTATATAATTAAACATTACTTACTTACAACTCTCACATGAAGGTGGGCTCCCATTACATCACTTACATTATTCACATACTATAAATATAAAGGAAATATGATCGATACTCACTGTTCTCGGTCATGGAAACCACATAGAAAACCATCTGTGTAGGCGCTTCTTTGACACTTGTTCCTGTTGGGGGCTTGTGGAAACGGACAACCCACTTCTCACACTGCTTCACATATATATATATATATATATATATTTGTTCACACACAATTGCTCTCTGATTCTCACATGTTTATTCTGGTGTAAGCGAGATGTGTTTATTTGTACGCGCCCTTCTTTGCAGCATCGTCACTGCCCAAAGTAACCTGTGATCTTCTGTTTCTCCCCACTCCCCCCGTAGCGTGAGGATTTTATAATTGTCCACCGAGAGAAGAGCGTCGCGTCTTGTTCCGAGACACAGGTCAGAAAAACTCTCTTGCCCTTAACCCTTCCCCCCCGCCTGCTCCTGCCTCCCCCCTCCTCCCGCCTCCCTGGCCTTGCATGCTTCAACACGAATGCAGCATGCTTTACCCTTACCCCTTTGTTGTCACTTTGGGGCCCTGCTCCTAATTTATTCCTCCACCTTGCATGAGGCCACACTGTTTCTCCAACACTGGCTTGGCTTTCTACAAGATGCAAGAATTTATTTTTGCTATTTGCAGTAAAACCACGTTGGAAAAACTGTGCAAGACTACCCCCAGTGTGCACTATTTCTGCAAAAAATCCGCTTGCTGCTTTTTTTTGTTGAATACTTGGATGAATGTTTTTCCTTCCCCCTGCTTTGTACTTGAGGCTCTGTTTTTTGGCTTTCTTTCACTTCATTTCAAACTGGGGTTTGCCGGTTCTCTCTGTTCTTTCTATTTTATCAGATGGGTGTTTTTGAGCACAGCTGGTTTTCACTCTTTATGCCTTCAATAACTATTCCAACTTTACAGCTACAAAGTTGGAATAGTTCGTCCACAAGCTATATCTGGTCTTTTGGATATTCTTGCTTGTCCATCCTCTTTTGTTTTCCTTTTTATTGACTTCTGTATGATTTTTGTTGCAGAGGACTTTTTCTTTGGCAGTAGTGTGGGGTATTTTTTGTCATCTGTCACGAGTTTGTCAAGCCTGAATAATGCAAATAAACGAGGGCTGTCAAACGATAAAAACATTTTAGTTGATTAATCGCATAGAAATGGTGAGTTAACTCACGATTAATCGCATTTTAACATTCTATTTCAAATCCACTTAAAGTTAAATGAGAGGATCAATTATAATGACACATTGTCATTCAGATTTCAGACCGAATGTACTTCAATCTGTTAGATTTGCTCACAACTTCTTGCTTTTGGGCACAACCAAAATGAGCTGTTAATGAAAGGGGGAAATTTACGTACCCCAGCTTTAATTCAGCGTTTCAGTTCAGTTTCAGGAGGAGACACGGACACTTTTGCGGTGTATTTGCGTGCACAGGTTACGCACCGGTTGCAAAGACATGAACACAACATGCAGACAATAGTCTGTGGCGTGTATGGTCTAATATGACCATGTTACCGCGGCACCATTCACTCACAGCGGCTCACAGCCGTGTTGTTGTTAGCGGCTCACAGCCGTGTTGTTGTTAGCGGCTCACAGCCAGAGCGGCCGCGGAGGAGGCGGACTTCAGTTCACAGCAAACAGCCCCGCGGTGACGCGCATATTCTTTTAAAACATGAATTCCCAGAAAGCCTACCTGCTCTGAGTGATATTATGGATAAATGGGTGGGTCATTCGGACATGAGTTAATGCAATAAAAAATGTTTTAAAGGAATAGTTCACCGTTTTTACATACTGACAAATGTTCTTACTTTACCTTAGACTAGTTAATACGTACCTGTCTGGTCTTAGTCCGTGTGCTCTGTCATGCAAACGGAGCAAAAACGGGAGCACAACCGCAGCCTCCTCTGTATATTTTGTAGCACCAAAAGGTAGCTCCCGCTAGAAGCTACCAAACTCTTCCAAGTGTTCCCTATTAAATGTATATAGTTACGTGACGTGTTACACTGCAAAGTATAGTAACACAGAAATGTAACAGTCGATTTTCTCAGCGGATAAAACTTGTAGTACGGAGAGAAGTTAGGAGCGCTACGTCCGCGCACTAACTTCTCTCCGGAGACTTCTCTCTCGCTGCTACTGTGTGTACTACAAGTCACGCTGCTTCTATTGACGGAAGTGAGCGAGAGAGAAGTCTCCGGAGAGAAGTTAGTGCGCGGACGTAGCGCCCCTCAGATTACTACGCCTCACAATATAGTACCCGTTTTATCCGCTGAGAAAATCGACTGTTACATTTCTGTGTTACTATACTTTGCAGTGTAACACGTCACGTAACTATATACATTTAATAGGGAACACTTGGAAGAGTTTGGTAGCTTCTAGCGGGAGCTACCTTTTGGTGCTACAAAATATACAGAGGAGGCTGCGGTTGTGCTCCCGTTTTTGCTCCGTTTGCATGACAGAGCGCACGGACTAAGACCAGACAGGTACGTATTAACTAGTCTAAGGTAAGGTAAGAACATATGTCAGTATGTAAAAACGGTGAACTATTCTTTTAACACGTTAATGAAAAATGTAATTAATGTGAGTTAACGCGATAATTTTGACAGCCCTAAAATAAACACAATTATCTATCAATATATGAAAAAAGTCCACATAACACTTGTGGTGGAAAACCTGCAGCTGACGGAGCAAAACTAAGAAACGACTGTTTTATCTGGACACAAGAATTAATGACGAGGTGTTTTAGTTTTGATTCTCTGATCTGTTGTTGGCGAATCGACAGCTTTGTACAGTCCTCAGAGATAACTACTCTTGTGAATAAATCATTTGTACTCAGATTTAATGTTAATTTATTTTATTATGGTGTCCCGGCTTTGCAAATTATATATAATCAGTCTCTTTTGTAATACTTTAATACTTGCCACAACATTGCACCAAATATTGCACCCACAGTCTCTGGTTCTTACCAACATCATATCACTTCTCTAATCTTACAACCAACTGATCAAAATATATATGTATGCGGCGAATATATGTATATTTTAATTTAGTTTTTTAGCGTGACTTCGATGCACAGGAAGGATGTGGTCACAGCTCTAACTGCAGATCTCTAGAGCAGGGGTGCCCAAACCTTTTGCTTCCAAGGGCCAAAGTATAAATGTGCCAGTGGGCCGCGGGCCAAATACACCGATATTACGCATGAAACA